CTACACTGTTGGTGGGAATGCAAGCTGGTGCAGCCACTCTGGAAAACAGTATGGAGGTTCCTCAAAAAGTTGAAAATAGAGCTACCATACAACCCAGCAATCGCACTACTGGGTATTTACCCCAAAGATACAAATGTAGTGATCCGAAGGGGCATGTGCTCCCCAATGTTTATAGCAGCAATGTCCACAATAGCCAAACTATGGAAAGAGCCTAGATGTCCATCAACAGATGAATGGATAAAGAAGATGTGGTATATATATTCAATGGAATATCATGCAGCCATCAAAAAATGAAATCTTGCCATTTGCAATGACGTGGATAGAACTAGAGGATATTATGCTAAGCGAAATAAGTCAATCAGAGAAAGACAATTATCATATGATCTCACTGATATGAGGAATTAGAGAAACAAAATAGAGGATCATAGGAGAAGAGAGGGAAAAATGAAACAAGACGAAACCGGAGGGGGAGACAAAGCATAAGAAACTCTTAATCTCAGGAAACAAACTGAGGGTTGTTGGAGTGGTAGGGGGTGGGAGGGATGGGGTGGCTGGGTGACAGACATTGGGTCGGGTATATGCTATGGTGAGTGCTGTGAATTGTGTAAGACTGATGAATCACATACCTGTACCCCTGAAACAAATGATACATTATGTTAATAATAATAATAATAATAATAAAGATTTTAGGCTTAGGAAACATGCCAAACGAAATTAGGATACTAAATTTTACATATAGCATGCTCCAAATTTTATTATACACACACACACACATACCCTACAAGGATATATGCTAAAATGTTAAAGAAGTTATTGCCAGGTTACACGATAAGTAATTTTTTCTTTTACTTTTTGTATTTTCCAACATTTTAACAATATTCATTTGTTATTGTATGACAAGAAAAAAGTTAACAGATCTTATTTTAAAAGAACTGTTTTTTTTTTTTAAATGGATTCTTTTTTTTTCTTTTTCTTTCTTTTTTTTTTTTTTGTTAGTAATCTCTATACCTACTGTGGGGCTTGAACTCACAACCCTGAGATCAAGAGTCACATGCTCTACTGACTGAGCTGACCAGGTGCCCCTAATAATAAGAACTTTTGATTTCATAATCAGACTGACCACAGGCATACATTCATCTCCTCAACTTCCAGAGACTCCATTTAAATGACAATAAGGGAATAAACAACACAATAACACTGAGGACAGAAGGAGATGAAGGGGCTTCAGTCCCCAAAGGGTTACCATGCTACAGTTTTCAAAGTATTTTTCATATCCACTATCTCATTTAATCTTCATAACAGCCCAATAAGTTAGATTGTATTATTATCTGCATTTTACAGTGTGGAAAACAATGACTCAAAGAGACTAATTAAACTCTAAGGTCATACTACTCTTGAGCGGCAGAGGAGAAAGGGGACAGAAGCCACCCCACCTAGTCCCACGTGTTCCCACATCACAAAGCCTCTTCCTGGATATTAGCGGATTGGAGCTCTGTACGTGAACAAGTATCTGCCGTAAAACAAAACAAAGCAACACTTACCCCATAAAATTCTGTGTGTCCTGATTTCTTCTGGCAATTCAAGGCTAGCATAGACGTCACTGAAATACAGCTCCCCCCCGTGCTGAAACAGCATTATTAGTCCAAACAAGGTTAAAGATGACATTAGTCCCAGATAGCAAAGAAAGGAATGAGGAGATAAAATCAATTTTAAAAACCAACAGAAGTACTGAGGTGACTCTTGGTGAACAAAGCAGAGCTGCCTTACTGGTTACAAGCAATAGCTGCATATGCCAAGATTTCTTTTCAGTGCCCTACAGACAATAAAATGGCTTTCAAGAGTGTTTCTCTCCTAAATAAAGATACTCAAGTGCTTAAAATTTTAGCCAGTCTAAACCAAATGCAGTCCCAGGTGGTTGTACAACTAATAGAAGTAAATAGTATTCCTGAATTCTTCTCCCTTAAAAATCATATAACTTTTGTAATGTTATTTATTTTTATAATAATAATTATATTTTTTAAATGTCCTTAAAATCTCAGACATATGAGTGATCAGGAATTTTACAATTGTATTTAGCTAGTTTCAAGGGCTCAGAGTCCAGATCGTACTATAATGTCTCTTTTAGAAGTACATCTTGATGAAGATAGTATGCTGGCCCATAAGATGACATATTAAGTAAGACATTATTAAATCATTCCTACATATTCTTATTTCATCTCTATGACAAGCCCTGTAAACCAAAAATCTCAGAATCTTCTATCTTCTATCACGAAGATACACATCTCATGATATATGTGGAGGGTACGGAGCTCCAGCAAGTCTTCCTTTTAGAAAGTAGTTAGTGTAAAAGTTCCATCTTTTTTAACTTCCCAAAGATCTGAAAT